AAGGTGTAGGATTAGACTCCAGCACAGATGGAAACTTAGTGTATAACAAAGGTACCTTCTCAAATCACTGGGGTAAAGATGGATTTTTTTTTTTTTTTTAATAAATGGTTCCTGGACAACTCAGTAGACATTTGGGAACAGATAAAATGAGATGCATATCTTGTACTGTACATAAGGATAAACTCTAATTGGATTAGGAGTCTAAATATAAGAAACAAAACTACATAAGTACTAGAAGAAAACATGGATGAATTTGTCTTTAACCTTAGTGTAGAGAAAAGCTGTCCAACTCATAAACCATAAACCAGAAGCAAAAAATAAATAAATTTTTTTCATGGCAAAAAAAATACCACAAAGCCAAAAGATAATTCACAAACTGGGAGAAAAATATTTACATCACATACCACAGAGAGTAGGGCTAATATCCCTATTATGTAAAGAGCTCTTAAAAATCCATGGATTTGGGCGCCTGGGTGGCTCAGTTGGTTAAGCGACTGCCTTCGGCTCAAGTCATGATCCTGGAGTCCCTGGATCGAGTCCCGCATCGGGCCTCCTGCTCGGCAGGGAGTCTGCTTCGCCCTCTGACCCTATCCCCTCTCAGGTGTTCTCTCTCTCTCAAATAAATAAAATCTTTAAAAAAAAAAAAAAAATCCATGGATTTGGGGCACCTGGGTGGCTCAGTCAGTTCAGTGCCTTCAGCTCAGGTTATGATCCCAGGGTCCTGGGATCAAGCCCCGCATCAGGCTCCCTGCTCAGCGGGGAGTCTGCTTCTCCCTCTGCTTCTGCCTCCTTTTCCCTCTCCCTCTCCCTCCTGCTCCCTCTGCTTATGCTCTCTCTCTCTCTCCCCCCAGTCAAATAAATAAATAAAATCTTAAAAAGAAAAAAGATGCAAAATTATTTTTTTTTAAAAAAATCCCTGGACTTAGGACCAAAATCTGATAGCAAACTGGGAAAAACACATGAATAAATAACTCACCAAAAAAAAAAAAAAAAAAGCTAAAAATGTCCCTCAAGCCTGTGGGAAAAAATACCCAAAACTGGGGCACCTGGGTGGCTCAGTTGGTTAAAGCATCTGCCTTCAGCTCAGGTCATGATCTCAGGGTCCTGGGATCAAGCCCCATGTCGGGCTCCCTGCTCAGTGGGGAGTCTGCTTCTCCCTCTGCCCACCCCCTGCTCATGCATGTGCGCTCTTTCTCTCAAATAACTAAATAAAATCTTTAAGAAAAATGCCCCAAATCACTCATAATTAGAAAACTGCAAATAAAAACAACACTGATACATCTTTTCTCAACTATGAGATTGGAAACAATTTAAAAATAGGACTTTCTGTTGGCAAGGCTTTGGGGAAGCAGGCACTTTTATACATTGCTGGTGGGGGTGTAAACGGAGGTTATCCTTCTGGAGGGAGATTTGCCAATTCTTCAACAGAATTACGGATGGGCTTACCATTTGTCCCAGCAATGCCATTTCTAGGGATTTACCCTAAAAGTACACCTCCAACAATGTGAATATTCATAACACACAGAGCTTGGAAACAACCTAAATGTTCATATGTAGGAGAATGGTTGGATAAATGTGGTGGATACAGTCACACCGTATAGTAGTATTATGCAGCTATAAAAGGAAGGAAGGAAGGGAGAGAAGGAAAGAGAGAGAGACCTCTACCGATATGAAATTATTTCGAGGACATACTGTTAAGTGAAAAAGAAAAGCACAAAAGTGTATAGGATGCCTCTGTTCATGTAAGAGAGACAAGGACGTGAAAAAAATACACATATACTTGCGCATTTGTGTGAAAGAAACCCAAGAATGATGAACCAGAAACTAAAAATATGGTTACCTACAGTGGGTAGGTGGGAAAGGGATGGAAGAGAGGAATGGGAATGGTGTCAAAGGGAAGAAGGAAGGGAGTATATCTTTTCACATAGCTCTGACTTGTAGAATCATAGCAGTGTTTTCCATACTCTTCACATACCCCAAAATAAACACAATTATAATCGATCAAGATGGCAGGGTATAACAACATGGAACGCAAACACTAAGAATTGAACCTAACTATTATAAATGGATAACGTAATTACAGTGGGGAAGAAAAGAATTAAGTCATTTGGAAATTATTATCTGACTCCATACTGTAGGTCTAAAGATAGAAAGAAGTATATACAAATGCTATAATAATCTAGTCCGTAAATGTGTTTCTCATGGGGGTAAGTTAGTAATTCTGAAACTGTGTATATTAGAATTGAATAAATAAGTAAATAGATTACAGGCAACAGAACTGAATTTCTCACTGCTGGAGAAGGAAGCTTCAAGTAGGAAAATGAGGAAACTAAAAGGAACCTTCTGGTGTTGTACTGGAATTTGAGGCATTAGTATAAACTCATGTTTCTTAATATATATACACATTGATAGAGGTAGAGATGTGTGTATATGGATGGAGTGCCCAAATCTTGGTTTCTAAACACCATTCTCCTATAGAAGAAACCAGGGCTCCTTGGAAAAATTATTGACTCCAGGCCTGGAGCAGGGAAAATTCAGGATGAGCCCAGATCACCTCATGGTGCCAGAAAGAAAAAAAGTGTTAAAAAAAGATGGGCACATGAAAAGGACACAGAGCCCCACCTGAAGGAGCTCCTAATGGCCAAAGCTGGAATGGTTTGACCAACAAAATAAATAATTCTAGTATAGCATAAGATAAATATAAAATGAAATAAATATGTATGGGCACATCCTGATATTAAAAATTGATTAAATGGGGGAGAAATAACAGCTCTTCCTCACAGAATTCCAATTAATGAATGTAGAAAGAAAGAAGGAAATAGAAAGTCATCATCAGGCAAACACGAGGGTAATAACTGTCGTAGACAAAATCCACTGATAGAAACTAAAATAAAAAGAAGTTTCAGGAGGAACACGATTTTCATGGTCTCAAACTATCTCCCCCAAGAGAAAGTAACTTTGCAGTGGAGTAACCTGCAAAACCCACCTGAGAAATCATGTTCATACCGTTTGGGTGCACAGTCTTTCAAAAGATAGCTTTGGTTCGTTTCACCGAAGATAATGGTCATAAAACAGCGTGTTACTGAATTGGGGCTAGGGTTTCCTGACTTACTGCTGCCTTTTGTGGATCTAGTAAGTTTCCCCAGGCTACGTGAAGATGTCTGTGACTTGACTTTCTAATTTTTCTTCTTAGTCCTCTACTTTAGTGTCTTCTCTGGAGGCAGAACTATCTGAAGTTAAAATACAGACTCATATTGTGGAACAGGAAAACCTCCTTCTCAAAGATGAACTGGAGAAAATGAAACAGGTAAGACTGTGCTGCTTGGAGTGGGCGTCAGGGGGGAGGCTCATAGAACAATATGGTACCTGATGGTCTGGCTTTTCTAGCCACCAAATGTCCTTTATACAGACTCCTGTCAACTAGCTTATTGCTCTTAAAACTGAGGGTTTGCAGGACAGGCCCACTTATAGGACTCCTATTGCTAATTCTCTAAATGCTGTTCTAGTTGTGTAACTTACATATGTTGTAGACTGAAATTCTATTACTATAAATCAGTCACAACCATTTCAGTTTAAGAAATTTGTTGTTCTGCTTTCTTCTGGCCAGGTGATAAATATGTGTCTAAAAAGAAAGTGACTTTCTTGCTTGTAACTTTAATAACTATTCATCTAGATTTGTGAGACACAATTCTTAGAACAAGTTTGAGGCTTCTACCCTGGGCTAGAGAGTAAATTCTAGAACATTATCAGGGATGCAGTCTCACTTATGAATTTGACTTTAAGAAGCCTATTTCAAAGTTTCAAACAAAGACTTAATTTTAAATATAAAAGAGGGTTCACCTTAAGGTTATATCCTGAACGTTGTCCTATTTTATTCTTTATTCTGAACTTTTCAGTGGGTACAGGATTTGAGCAATCCTGATTTATGAATAGAATTTAGTTCTGTTTTTTTTTAATTTGCTTCACCAAAGGTTTACTTTGATATTATGACATCCTTAGATTATAAAATTCTCTCGCTTGTATCTGTTCAGCCTATGAGCATAAAGGTGTCCTCTGAATGCTGAAATATTGAGTCTCTACCACTGAGTTTTATGTTTGTGTTGGTCTGTAGTTGACTCCTATAAGTCTTGATTTCCTAATAGGATTGTTAAGACTTCCGGGGAATTTGTGTCCCTTGTAATGCCTAGTGATTGGTACCTGATAGGAGCTTTATAAGAACCTTTTCAAGTCAGATGCTGCTTTGCAAAGTATATCTCTTCTGCCATAACAGAAACTGTCTGCCATTATCAACATTCCAGAAGTTAAAACTCATAGGGCCTTTCTGTTGGTGCATAAGTATTCCAAAGCTGTTATTACCAAGTTCATCCTAATTACCATGGGAATACTTTTCTCCTTTACCTTTTGAAAATCCATTGTTCAGTCTTTAAGATGTTTAATGATGGAGTCCAAATCCATAGCATGAGAAGTGCGTGTTTTGTGACTTCACTAAGCCAGAGATCAGAAGGAAAGGAGTGCATTGGGGAGTAAAATAGCATGAGGAGGACATCATTTGGTACATTTTTATTGTGTATTTTTTACAGAGGTGTTTATAAATAGTGGAGTGGAAGAATGGTGAGCCCTGTCTGCTTTTGCTAGAAGTTGTATCATGGCACCTGGACTCTTTGGGATTACAGCAGTGGGGTAGTATCAGCCCATTGTTGCTGCCATACAGCTTGGACCTAGGAAGTATGTGCTGCTGTAGGACCCAATACAAGTAAAAAGCACTTTGTGAATGAGAAACTCTCTGTTGCACAGAAAAGGAACACAAGGAGCATCAGCAGAAGTCTCATGCCAGTCTCTACACCCAAAATGGTACCAGGCTTTGTGAGGGTCTGGGGATGAGGAAGCAAGGTAGTGAGCAAAGGAGACAGGTCCTTTAGTAAACCAAAGCCCAGCTACTTTAAAATAACGTTTTCCTATGTTCTTCTGACTTTAGATTTGTAAGGTATGCTGGATTTGTTGTCAGTTGAAGATTCAACCCTTAGAGTCTATTTTGTCGTCTTACCCCTAAAGCTAAATGTGAAAGAACGTAAGGTATGAAGTAGAAGGATGACCATAAAATCATAATGAATAATAATTGAATATGTGAAAGCCAAGTGAAACAGAGGGAAATTAAAAATGTAGGAACTGTGGGAAGGGTAAAGAAGTAGAAGGAACAATCAGTCTCTTTAGAGCAGTCGTTGGGGGAGGTGGGAATTACTCCCCCACCCTGGGACATTTAGCAATGTCTAGGACCATTTTTGGTTTTCACAAGTGGTGTGTGGGGAGGGGAGTGCAACAGCCATCTAATAGGCAAAGCAGAGATGTTGCTAACCATCCTCCAGTGCGCAGGACAGTCCCCCAAAACGAAGAATTATCTGGCCCAGGATGTCAATCCTAGTTAGGCAGATGCTGAAACGGAACAGAAACTGTCTTTGGTTTGTCTTGATTCCAGTAGAGAGGAGGAAGCCTGTGCGTCCACATTTAACATTTTCCTGAGCAAGTCAGTTTTGGCCTCTTCCAAAGGGAAGGGCACATGGAACAAATTGAAAAACACTGATTGTTTTAGCTTGAAAACTTGCCCTTGTATTGATTCACAGTACTTGTTGGTTCATGCCAATTCTGTAGTCTTGACTGAGATTTCTGAAAAAGATTTTTGTCTCGTTAAAAAAGCCTGAGGAAAAGGTATTGTGCTGTATCGTACGCAAGTTAAATTGATGACAGAACGGCAGTATGTTACTTATTTTACCCTGAAGGTAAAACAGAAAGTGAGGACCATTATGTAACGTGTCTGTCTACGTGAATCCCTCTGGGCAGACGTTTTGGCAGTCAATTGGAGAATGGAGAGAATGTAGCAGGGAACATTTTGTTAAATTTAATTTTAGTCCCCTAGAGTTTATATGTCCCCTGAAATATCTATGTAGATAAGGAAATAGCAGCAACCATGAAAATGCCCTGTTTATAAATACCTCTTTATAAATACAGCCATGAGATGTGATGGGATTGTTTATCTCTTACAGCTGCACAGATGTCCTGATCTCTCCGACTTCCAGCAAAAACTTTCTAGCGCTCTAAGCTACAATGAAAAACTGCTCAAAGAAAAGGAAGCTCTGAGTGAAGAATTAAATAGCTGTGTGGATAAGGTAGTAAACATAAGACTTTCTAACCATTATTGTATAGTGTATACCATAATGAGCATTTCTCTGTACAGTGGCATCTGGGCCTCCCATTTTAGCCTAATTGTTCCAAGCCTACTATCCTAGTAGAACAACATTTCAGCTGGCCTTATGTGATCTAAGCGTTCCGGAGGTCATGATTTTGACAGGAGTGTACATTGGTTAATAATTATTATATGCAGTAATATGTAGTTTATCTCATTTTAATATATAACCATGTTACTTAATGTATATTATTTAAACATTTATTATTGAGAGAGAGCACGAGCAAAGGCAGGGGACAGAGGGAAAGAGGAGGAGAGAGAGAACCTTAAGTGGGCTCCACACCCAACCTGGGGCTCGATCTCACAACCCTGAGATCATGACCTGAGCCAAAATCAAGAGTCAGACCCTTAACTGACTGAGTCACCCAGGCTCCCCTTAATGTATATCATTAAATATATCACTATTAACATATAATACAACTGTGGTTGCTTTTAATAATCTGAGACCTATTACATAGGCACTTTTTTTCTGTTTTCCCTAGCAAATCCCCAAACACTGCTTTTGTCCCACCTGCCTTGATAGGTATTCCGTATTTTCCTATTATGGTACTCTCTTGAGATTGGGGAAGGAGGAAGGTTACGGGGAGGGGAGAGGCAGAGAGAGAATCCCAAGCAGGCTCCATGCCCAGCGCGGAGCCCAACTCGGGGCTCAACCTCACAACCCTGAGATCATGACCTGAGGTGAAATCAAGAGTCAGACACCCAACCGGCTGAGGCACCAAGAGGCCCCTTGAGATTTCTAATTGCCTTCCAGCCTACCATTTCTCACCCACAGTGAGGCAATGAGAGAGAAAAATGGAAATTGCCAAAAAGAAGAGATTCCTCAAAATTAAAGGTAGAAAGAGAGTCCGGAAAACATCTTCCTTTTTTTTTTTTTTTTCTTTTAAAGATTTTATTTATTTATTTGACAAAGACACAGTGAGAGAGGGAACACAAGCGGGGGAGTGGGAGAGGGAGAAGCAGGCTTGCCGTGGAGCAGGGGCTCGATCCCAGGACCCCGGGATCATGAGCTGAGCCGAAGGCAGATGCTTAACAACTGAGCCACCCAGGCGCCCCAGGAAAACACCTTTCTTTTACCTTGCCCTGCTCCCCCATGTAAACAGTTGGTGCTTGGTCTTTTCAGCATATATAGAGGTATAGAAATTTTGAGGCTAGATATGTGTGCAAAAATGCCCCGTTCCCTCTTTTCTTTTCCTGAAACAGTTGGCAAAATCAAGTCTCTTAGAGCACAGAATTGCCACTATGAAGCAAGAACAGAAGTCTTGGGAACACCAGAGGGAAACCTTAAAGTCCCAACTCGCGGCTTCACAGGACAAGGTATGTGGCCAATTCTTGTTTCATCTGCCTAGTTAATATTTTCCTGGATATTCCAACAGAACTCCCAGGAGAAAGAATATTCCGGGTGGAATTGGCCTAAGAGGGCTCAGAATGCTTCAACTTGACTAATACCTGTCACATGCTTACAGTATGATGAAATAATTTGAACAGTTCCCTCAAAGCTCATTATTAGAATTATGAGATTATCTCATCATTATGAGATTACTTATGAAAGCTGGAGAATAATGTGTAGAAAGGACTGCTGGTTTCTCATTTAGAAAAAGGGTTCCTAAGGCAGATTCATGCCCTGTTAAAGATCTCTATCAACCTTACTTTCATACATTTAAATTATTTTTAATTAAAATATATACTAGATGTTAGCATGGAGTAGGGTTCTGACAGCTATATATTTTCATTTTTAAGAAGTCCTTTACAAACCAACACCACTGGCTAAAACACAATTTCTACAAAATTCAGTAAAGCCATCTTCTGTCATGCCATTTGGTTCTCATTGGTTCTGTAAGACACCACTTGCTAATATACCAGATGACTGTATCAGCAAGACCCTGTTCCACGTTACTGAGCTAAATACAATGTTCTGTAAATATACGTAATATCTGGGGTTTCCACTGAGCTACTCAAAAGAGCTGTATATAATTAAATAGAAACAGAAGAGACCTTGGAATTCTCTTATCTTAGCTCATTCACTCCTGGACAGGCTTTGGTGAGACTGTGAGGATCTGTGTCAAGTGTAAGATTGTTCTCATGATGCAGGTTCAGAGTTTAGAAGACACCCTGCAGAATGTAAACTTGCAAATGTCGCTGATTAAATCTGACCTACAAGTGACTCAGCAGGAAAAGGAGGCTTTAAAACAAGAAGTGATGTCTTTATATAAACAACTTCAGAATGCTGGTGACAAGGTAATTTCTTTTTTATTGAGGTATAAGATGCACAGATTTTAAGTCTATAACTTACAGATGTATGTGTGTGTTTACATAAATGAGCAACCTAGGGGTTAGGAGCTCCGACCCCCTGCACAGTCAAAAATCCACATACAACTTCTGACTCCCCCAACACGTACCTATTAATCATTAAGACTACTGTTGACTGGAAGCCTTACCAATAATATAAACAGTTAATTAACACACATTTTGTATATTGTGTTCTTATTGTATACTGTATTCTTACAATAAAGCTAGAGAAAAAATCATAAGAGAAAATACATTTACAATACTGTACTGTATTTATCAAAAAATTTGCATATGAGTGGACCCGTGCAGTTCAAACCTGTGTTGTTCAAAAGTCAGCAGTATATTTTACATACCTGTGTATGTATGTGCATATGTTTATATTTGTGTAAACACCTCCTAGCTCAAAATATAGACCAGTTCCAGCACCCAGCAGACTCTCTGGTCTCCCCTCCAGTTGATAACCACAAGGGAACCACTTCTCTACCGTCTGCCACCGTAGGTTAGGGATGCTTGTTTCTGAACTTCATATAAATGGAACCACAGTGACAAGGTTATTTTTTGTATTGTGCAAGACAGGGGACCATGCTGAGTTATTTTGTAGTAGCAAAACTAAAACATTTCGGTATTGTATAAAGTGTGTCTCATTTTAATATATCAAAGTGCTGCTTCACCTGTGTGCATAGAAATGAAAAATGGTATTAAAGATGTCAGCCTTGTGGAGGTGTTAAGAGTTTGTCCTACAGTAAAAGTAGGACAGTTATTTTAATCCAGTTATTTTATATCTTTTTATTTTTATTTATATATATATATATTTTTTAAGTAGGCTCCACACCCAGTGTGGGGCTCGAACTCATGACCCTGAGACTAAGAGTCTCATGCTGTCCCCACTGAGCCATCCAGATGCCTCCTTTTTATTTATTTATTTTTTTTAAAGGAAAACAGTTGTTTCCATTTTTTAAAATTACTTCTGGGCTGACATTTTCCTCAAAATGAGATTGTAACTTTTTTTTCTTTTTCATGTTTTGGCTTAAAAAGCAAAAGCCCTACCTACTTGTTACTTTCTTTAAAGCATTTTCCAGGGTCCAAAAAATCACTTTGGTAGCTAAAAGCATATTCTGAAGTTCAGGCCTCAATTATATGGATAGTATGTGCTTTGGATTCTAAAAAAGGATCTGATTGCAAATGTGAAAAGAGTTTAGCTTGTGAAAGCTTTCAAGTTAGCAGTGTATTTTGAAGTTCCCTTTGTGTCCTCTGTTAACCAAAAGAATAGTTATCTGGGGCCAAAGGGTTAACTTCACAAAGATTAAGCAATTTTTAAGGCCACCAATCTCTATGCACTTGGGTTCTATATAGAATCTGGACTTGCCCTATAGTCATCTTTGCTATTAGACTTGCTGGAGCTATTTTGCCAAAATAGATTTAGATTTTCATTCTAAACAGAATTTCCAAACCTTTTTAAAATCAGACTCCCAAAATATTGTTTTTATATCTGTGTATACAACAGACATGCACACCTCCATTAGAAGACATGAAGAATAAGAGGTGCTTACTAAGAATTATTGTCATTGAGTAAATACACTCAAACAGAAATCAGCTTGTTTTTAAGGCTTAACTCTGCCCTTTGCTGTTAAGAACTGGGGCCCAGAAATAGCCACCCATCCATCAGGATTCCCTACGCAGCAGCACTGGCTGACTTGGGACAAGATGGATCATCTGATAAAGGAGGAACAAGAGCTACTTCGGCAGGAGAACGAGAGACTCCAAACCGTGGTGCGGAACACCAAAGCGGAACTCACGCACTCCCAGGAGAAGGTAAACTGAAAAGCTGCAGATGGTGGTGTAGGATTGAAAATACTTAGTTTGATAGGAAGATGAGAGTTTGACATGATTGAAACTGTTCTAGGGTATGGATCTGAGTATTCTGCTATGGCAGACTTATTTTAGAATGTATAATTCATCATTTACTAGCAAGTAATTTTACCCTGGTATGTTTATATAATATTTTTCATTCTGTATAATCAGTTCAATATTAAAATCAATGATTTTAATCCTCCTATCCAGAATAGCCTCATGGAAATTATGTTAACTATATATTCTCCACTCAAATGGACTAGCTGCCAAGACTGGTAGTACAAAAATGGCAAAATTAGACTCACATCTTGTTGGGCTAACTCCTTGTAAGAGAAAAGGTACCCCTTTTTATTTATTTATTTATTTATTTAAAGATTTTGTTTATTTATTTGAGAGAGAGAATGAGAGAGAGAGAGCATGAGAAGGGGGAGGGTCAGAGGGAGAAGCAGACTCCCCGCCGAGCAGGGAGCCCGACGCAGGACTCGATCCCGGGACTCCAGGATCATGACCTGAGCCGAAAGCAGTCGCTTAACCAGCTGAGCCACCCAGGTGCCCAAAGGTACCCCTTTTTAAAGACTCAGCATTTCAAGGTGAGAATGGTCTCTAAAGAGGATCTTTTCCAACCACTAAATGGATGTTTATATTCTTTACTTCTGCTAAGTAGCTGACCAACTATGATGAACCTATGCTTAAACACTTCTTTTAAGGAAGAACTCTCTGAAGAGCCACAGATAGTCATTTAGAACAGCTGCTCTATGTCAGAAACTCTGCTCTCACTGAAGGTGCAGACTCGACCAAGACAGACATGGTAGCTGTCCTCATGGAACTTGGTTGATATAAATGCATTGTTTCAGGTGTGAACAGTCCAGTACAAAGTGGATGGGACCATCACCTCATTGACTCCTAAAAGTTATGCTCCTATCAGAGAGAAAATGCCTAGGACTACATCTGTCTTCTTGACAGCCACGCCACACTGTTGACTCCCAGCCGATTGGTAGATCCAGAGGTCCCCTCTTCTCAGTCTGATCCTTACAGTCATTGGATTTTTAGACCCATACAGACTAAAAATAGATTTACCTCGAAGGATCTTTTGAAATCCAAAAAAGTAGAGTTCAAGAATTGGCAGACTTGGGGCACCTGGGTGGCTCAGTCGGTTAAGTGGCTGCCTTCGGCTCGGGTCATGATCTCAGGGTCCTGGGATCGAGCCCACATCGGGGCTCCCTGCTCAGCCAGGAGTCTGCTTCTCGCTCTCTCTCTCAAATAAATAGAATCTTAAAAAAAAGAATTGGCAGACTTGACTGAAAAAAAAAAGTGTTTTTAATACAACAAAACCTGGGGTGCCTGGGTGGCTCAATCATTAAGCGTCTGCCTTCGGCTCAGGTCATGATTCCAGGGTCCTCAGATCGAGCCCTGCATCGGGCTCCCTGCTCGGCATGAAGCCTGCTTCTCCCTCTCCCATTCTCCCTGCTTGTGTTCCCTCTCTCGCTGTCTCTGTCAAAAAATAAATAAAATCTTAAAGAAAAAAAAAAAGAATTAAAAAAAAAATACAACAAAACCCAAGTGCTGAAAAAAAAACCAACTTTCCTTATGTTCATTTTTTTTCTTTCTTGCTAGATGACTATATTAACATTTCTTCCTCTCACGTATGTTCTTGTTAAGGTCCGTCAGCTGGAATCCAACCTTCTTCCCCCCAAGCACCAAAAACATCTAAACCCATCAGGTACTATGAAGCCCACAGAGCAAGAGAAGATGAGCTTGAAGAGAGAGTGTGAACAGTTTCAAAAGGAACGATCTCCTACTAATAAGAAAGTGAGTTTTAAGAGTTTATACCGTGTGTCTATTTCTTTACTATGATGTGTCCCTATGTGTATGTTTTTTTCCCTGCATGCTTCCAACAAAATGATTGATTACAGTGGTATATTTTGGTTCTTCCATCTATCTATACTTTTGTGATCTTATCAAATAGCATCATAGTTCTTTTTGATTCAGGGATGGTTGAAAAGGAGCAGTTAACTTTAAGTATTCATAATGAAGATGCTTAATCTTCAGTAGTATTATAGCCCTTTTAAGTTAGTAAAATCTATTTTTAAATGTATATATCCTGAATATTAGAAACATCTTAATATGGTCTGTATTAGCTACCTATTGCTGTGTAACAAAACAACAAACATTTGTTGTCTCACAGTTTCTGTGGGTGGGGCATTCAGAAGCAGCTTAGCTGAGTGCTTCTGGCTGAGGGGCTCATGAGGTTGCAGTCCACACATCAGCTGGGACTGCATTTATCTGAAGGCTCCACTGCTACTGAGGGATCCACTTCTAAGTTCAGGAATGTAACTGTTAGGAGGAGGCTTCTATTCCTTGCTGGCTGATTACAGAGACCTCAGCTCCTCACTGCCTGGGCCTTTTCTCAGATCATGGCAGTGAGTGATAGGAGAGAGATCCCAAAAGCTGTGGTGCCTTTTATAAGCTGTCCTGGAAGTGACACACCATCATTTCTGCTATCTTCTGTTGGTCACACAGACTAACCCTGGTACAGGAAAACTCCACAACACTGTAAACCCCAAGAGGTGGAGATCAGTAGGGACCATCTTGGAGACTGGCTACCACGTGGTTAAACCTCCGTAGCATCACTCAGTTTGCTTTCTGTACTTTGTTCCATGAAGTAAGAGTTCTAAGACCAGTGTTACCCTGGGAGTTCTGGTTGTTAACTTGTTTTCTTTCTTTTTTCTTCTAAACTAAAACTCAGAGTTTTCACTGTTATCTTCCTCTTCTGAAAATTATGGTTCATGTAAAAATCTGGGAAGAATGATGAACAATCAATTACTTCTGTTATAAAAACTGTATGAAAATGTTAAGTTTGTGAAAGTTATCATGACCATAGGCAGTAAGAAGACTGGTTTGTGCTCTAACGGGGAAATACCATTCAGTTTTAGGTATATAAACTTTTCAGAAAGATAAAGGGTTTCATCCAGCTGCTAAGGGAAAAGTCTAATGATAGTTTTAACCTGAAAAGCTTACACTTCTCTTTAACAATTTTTGCTCCTCTCCTCAGCTCTTTTTGATAGAAACCAAAATCAGGATTCTACAAGTGTCATATATTTTCTACTTAGCAATATTCTGAATTCCAGGGTCATGTAGCTCATTACATTCCTCCTATAATAGAGAATTCTAAAAATGGATACTCACAAAATCTTCAAATTTCATCTTTAAAATTGAGAAAGGAGTTCTCCAACTCAGGTTTTATGTACTCTCAGTTTTAAGCCTTTAAACTTTGCCTTAAGACAGTGTTTTTCCCACTGCAGATCCATAGTAGAGGATCATGAAATTGATTTAGTGAAATATCAGCCTTCTTTATTAATAAGATATGCTAGAAAATATCAGAGTCCATGGCTCATGGTAAGGATAAATTTCATTTCATGAAAGTTCTCTTTCAGTGATACGTACTTATAATTGGTTATGGGTGTGGGCTATGTCCTGGGTATATTTCTTAAGTGAGCAGCACTGAAGTTTGAAAGCCAGGTGCCTTCTGGAATCTGTTCCACGGAAGCAGTGGTGATTAAAAACTATCCTACTTAAATGTAATCAGTGCACTGAATTATATTGTTTTCCTTCAATGAGTGAACTCTGCTTTCTTCCAAGGGTTAAGATTTCTGACTAGCATAAATTTGTCAAAATAAAGCAGAGCAACTCAAGCGTGTTTCGTTTTTTTAAAGGGAATTTTTTTGTTTTTTAGCAGGTCAGTCAGATGAATTCCCTTGAAAGAGAATTAGAAACGATTCATTTGGAAAATGAAGGCCTGAAAAAGAAACAAGTAAAACTGGATGAGCAGCTAATGGAGGTAAGTTTTTAAGCAACTGGCCTTAGCTATGAAGAATATTTTAATCCATGAATGTGCCATTTGTTGGGAGAGACTAGCATAGCACTGAATTCCTATTATGAAGAAAAGTGAAAAAGTATGCTGCCAAGCTGAATTCTTTGGTCTGTCTTACCAAGTTTGATAGACGTTGTTGCTCATTACATAGTCACAGGAATTCATACTGCTTCAGAGAGGAAGGAATCATGTTGACTATTCTAAAATGCAAGGACCCATACCTCCACAAATTCAGGTGGCAGGGACTCTGTCTGATCTTGGCCAAGAGGCCCAGAGCTCCCCCACCACCGCTGAGGTTGTAACAGTTTCCTGACACCTCCCCTATTGTAGTGTTTTACAGATGGGTTGCTAACAACCTCTTTAGTTAGGAAATCCGTGCAGGGAATTTGGGAGCATTAGCATTTAGAAGTTTAATCTTCCAGGGCTGTCACTGTTCATTACTACATTTGTAACTCAGCACTGCCTTGTGAGAGGTACATCTGTTAAATATAAAAATGGAGTTGTAAAACTTGTCAGCTTGGACACTGAGTTTCCAGTCTACTAGACTGCTTTCTGAATACTAAAGACAATGATAGGATATAAAACAACTTACGTACAAATCCTCCTTAACAATACAAATTTCACTGAGATACTTTGCTTGGGGTAGATGAAAATGTCATGTGGTGAACTGTAAAATTTATTTAAGGTTGAGAGGCATGGGTAGAAAACATCTTTTTGTGCTCTTAAAAAGTCGTGTGTAAACAAATATTTTAGAGCCAGAATTATAGGATGAGAGAGATTAAATAGATGGTTCTTAAATGTGAAATATGGGCAGATATGTCACACTGACATTTAAATGACCGCTGAGGTTTCTGCCAATTTTATGTTCTCTGATTTATCCACTAATAGGGGGATTAAACTATAAATAGTGAAATTCCAAACCCTTTTTTTCTTTCTCTGACAGCACATAATAAATGTGTTCCAAAGCTTGAGCTGCAGGCTGTGTTTAGATGTAGAGATGCTTTCTGATGAAATAATTGTATATTGTGATGAATAAGATATCTGAAGCTAAGCTCCACATGTCTCATACCAAATTGAAAAGTAACAGGGTATACTTAGTCACTGGTAGATCTTCCCCAAATGTTCTGCCAACAGGCCCATCCATCTCCCACCTGCTCTAGCCGGCCTCAGAAACCTCTCTCTCTTCCTAACCCCACTTCACATGTTTAACTATCATAAGCAATTTCCCTTCATTATTTTTCTCCTTGATCTAGTAGTAAATATTTGCTAATGGATGAAGTAAACGGATGTTCATGGTACTAGAGCTGAATAACTAAAGGAAACACTTGAATTTTCCATCGGAACACTGAAAAGAACATCTCATACACTATTCTAATGAAACTTTCTTTAGGCAATAAGACAGCTATTAACTCTGTACAGACCGATACAAATTGGATTCTTCAGCAGCTTTATTAAAATGTAATTCATATACCATATAGCTCACCTATTTAAAGTATATACTTCGATGACTTTGTTATATTAATTTTTTAAATGGTGGTAAATATATGCAGAACAAAATTTGCCATTTTAAAATTCAGTGGCATTAATTACATTCACAGTGTTCTACAACCCTCACCGCTACTTCCAAAACATTTGCATCACCCCAGAGACTCTAACCATTAAGCAATAACTCTCCCTATCCCACCAGCCCTACAAAGTGGGTTTTTATTTATGTTCTGACATCTATAGATGAGGCCACTTTGGGGCGCGTACAGTGGTTTTCACACCATTTTTTGTGCACACCTCACCTGAGGGATAGGTACATTCCTCTGACTTGGCAGGGATTCTCATTGGGTTTGGGTGAGGGGCAGGCGGCAGGGGGAGGAGATGTTCCAACATCAGAATCTTTGGGATCAAGGATTTTAAGAAAAGCTCTCTAGGCGATTCTAATCTGATGTATGTCCTCCCTTGTGGGAAGGAGTTTCTCCTCATCCTTCTGTGTCAGTTTAAAAGTCACTGATCTAGGGGCCCCTGGATGGCTCAGTTGCTGGAGCGTGTGACTCTTGATCTTAGTGTTGTGAGTTTGAGCCCTGTGTTGAGTGTAGAGATTACTTAAAAATAAAATCTTCAAAGAAAAAAAAAACGTCACAGCTAATACAATATGTACCCATAGCCTAGGGCAATTAAATTCTTCCTTTTCCTAGTCTAGTGATTTGAGATCTTTAATTCCTACTCCAGGGCTTTTTCAACGACATGAGGCAATGTTCTCTAAATAACTGAATTTGAAGGTTCAAGAAAAGGGTTACAATCTGCATCAGCAGTTCTCAAGTCAGCCTAGCCAACAGTTCCAACACTTGAGCAACAAAATTGCCATTTGGAGATGCAGAATATAAACTATAAAAGTATTTAGTATCAGGTCCATCCAGACTAGACCTGGAATGTTCTAAATAATTCTGTTGGGACAGGTGGAGGTAAAGGTGGTAAGTTCACAAACTAGCCAAATCACAGTAGGTGAGGAAGCAGTTGCAGGATGAGAGCTATGAGACATTTTAAGGTCTGTAAAATTGGTATACAGAGAAATGTAAATGTTGTCCTTTATAAGTCCTTCCTGACTAGAGCACACATGTTCAGGTATATAATATACCCAGTTTTAACTGTTCTCTTTTTATAACTCATACTTTTCTTCCTCTTTTTATGACTCCTGTAATTTTCTTTTGTTTTTGTTTTGTCTGTGGCTAACCTGCACCTAGAACTCTGTGGTTGGAACTAGCAGAGAAGGGTGCAGTTCTCTGCCTGAGCTAGTGTGTGAAGGTAGAACATTCTCTTTCAATGCATTTCATAGCATGGAGATATCTCATTAGACTCCTTGTTCACGTAATCATTTTTACTGACTCTAACAGTTAGTAAATACGTAAGAGCCAATATTCATTTTGCTTTAACTATGGAATATGTCTCTGTTTCCATGTACACCAGGATTTTCCTCAGTATTTAAAGATCTAGGTGAAGAAAATCATCCTGCTGATATAAAATCATGGGATCATAATTCTCCCTATTTTTTAGTCCTGAAAATAAAATGGTGGGTTTCTGAATCTACAACTAGAAAATTTCAAAATGGGTAATCTCCCACCTCAGAAATTTAGATTTAAGGAAATGGATAGTGGCTCTGAAGTTTCATAACATTTAATTATAGTTGTGTCGTGGAGGGCCTTTTTCCCTTCTCACAAGCCTGGAGGAGCTGCTTCTTGAGTCTGGTCATGTTCATTGCATGCCTTCTGCGGGGTCCTCTGTCTGCTGAATGTGTCGACAGATGTGGAGTGGCATGCCTCACTGCCAAATGCAGTGCGTTCTCCTTCTCCTTTTTCCTCTCCCCAGCTTTGGCATGTGATACACATATCATTTCCTCATTGCCTTGAACAAATATTTCTGTTCCATATACTTCAATTCCCGGGGATTCTAGGATATCACCCTTTGTCCCAGAATTGCTTATCTTATAGTGCTATTTAAGAGTTGAACATTGGTGAACTGAAATAGGGTAAAATAATTTTAGATATGAGATTCTTTGTCTATCCTGGAAAATATATAGTCCTTGAACATTTGCTTTTAAGAATCTTTATGAATGGTAAGTAAAGTGGCAAAACCCTAAAGCATAACCACTTTCTCCCCTTTGCTTACTCCAACCCTGTCTGCATTTTATTTGTTTAACGAGGCGTAATTAAATGTTCTAGTATAAGGAGACAATGAAGTAGAATTTAGACACATTATATATAGCGTGTACCTCATGCCCTTACAGTCACTCAAGAGTGAGGAAGTACAGTGTTTTAAGTCGAAAACTAATTATATTATCTCCTAAGGAAAATGACGCTTCCCAATTACTTACTTCTACTCAAGTCATGTACTGTCCTGTTTTCAAGTTATCAGGGGGTCTGAGAGGCCACTAATGAATCCATCAGCTTCATTCACTCTGCTTGACACTTTCAAGAGTAGCTCTGTGCTGCAAAGCACTGCAGCTGACCCGGGCTTTGCCTTTGTCGTCCAGAAGCAGCACCTGAGGTCCACTGTGATGCTTAGCCCATCCCCTCATGCTTGGGATCTCCAGCTGCGCCAGCAGCAAGCCTGTCCGATGGTGCCCAGGGAGCAGTTTCTGCAGCTTCAACACCAGCTGTTGCAGGCTGAGAGGACAAACCAGTGCCTGCAGGAGGAACTTGAAAACAGGACCTCCGAAACCAACACACCGCAGGTATGAGGCTCTTTCTTCCCTGCTGGTTAATTCAGCTCACCTCACCTCATTTGGCCTGTTTATGGGAAAGTTATACCCGTTCAAAGGTGGGGATGAAGAACCTAAATCTCTGTCAGAGAGCACCATCTTACCTGTATGACAAATCCACAGAACTGCAGTGTTACTTGGGGGTTTTGTTTTGGTTTTTTTGCAGTGATGCTCTTGCACTCTCAGCTTTGAAGCTGGGTAATGAAGCGTTCTGGGTCTCCTTTGCACATTCGTAGTTGATGAAGTATCAGGATCGCTTGAGCGTAGTGTACAACTGACCTAACGTTTTTTGACTTAACATTTGTCTGATGCCAAAAATATTACAGAATTCAAGTACAACTCTAGGATATGCATTATTAACAAAGCAACCTGGGTTTTCCTGTACTAGAGGGGTAGTCTGCTGAGTTCCATAGAATTCACAAGTGGGGACTTTAAACAACTAATAGAGTGTGTAGTCAGTGACTTGAGTTGATGTATTTCATTTAACTTAATTTTTAAGAATGATCAAGTTTGAAAACCTCTTCTTAAGGAAATAAACATCTTTTCCCTTTTCCTTTGAATTAGCCTTATCCTAGCTCACTACAGACACAATCTGATACAAGCTGGGTTTCCAAATAGTTCTCTTGAGACTTCTGAAAAAGCTTGACTAGGAATGAAGCACTTCATGCTTTTTGCTTGCCCAATTTGTTTATTCAAAACTAGGAATAAAATAAAAAATATTCCTTAGTTTGTATAATTCTAAATTCAATCTGGTTTGGATGCTTTTCTTCTGTTGTCTCTCAGTTGACTTTTCATAAGGAATTTCCCCACCTCCTTTTCTGTAATTGTCTCAAATTAGCACTATAATTATACCCTGGAGCAGTTCTGTCTTCCTCTTCTAGTAGTGGCTATCTGTGCTTTGTCATGATATGCTTCTGTCAGCTAATCTTTTGAACAAAACCTTAAAATTATTTTTGTCTTCTGTGCTTTAAAAGTTCACGTTTTTGGAAGTTTCTGCTATTCCACTTCAGTTTCCAAATAGTAAAATTGTGCTGGTGGGGTGTTGAACAGATGCTCCAACAATTCATTACAGAACTGAATTATAAAACCTTGACCTCAGTTTTTGTTTTTTTAAGATTTTATTTCTCAACAGAGAGAGCCAGCGAGAGAGGGAACACAAGCAGGGGGAGTGGGAGAGGGAGAAGCAGGCTCCCCGCCAAGCAGGGAGCCCGATGCGGGGCTCATGACCTGAGCTGAAGGCAGACGCTTAACAACTGAGCCACCCAGGCGCCCTTGACCTCAGTTTTTAACAGACATTTTAAACCAAAGGATTAGGCGAAGATTTTATCTATTGCTTTCTCATACACACAGTTTTCAAAGCATGCTCTTCTACCCTACCTGCCAGTGTTTAAAAACAGTATCCTTTTACTCCGATTACTTCAGGATTAGATAGACAAAAACTGTTCAGATTTTTGTACTAAAAAAAAAAAAATTTCTCCAGTTGGATGGCAGAGTGGACTGCTTATTGCTGTCGCTAGAATGCCACTGCAGACTCTCCTATTTCTGGTAACTGAGCTGCCATTAATTTTGAAGCGACAGAATATTGTTAGAATCTGCACGATGCCTCTGTGTGTGGAGTGATGTGATGTCTTCTGCCTGTGTGTTGCTTTGCTTGCATGTGTAGTGTTCGTGTGCTTTTAAAAATTGTTTGCATTATAAATGTGTGAATTTAGACTCGTCCCAAAACATACTCTTGACATCAGGGTGAAGTGTACCACTTGCCTTCTTTCTCTAGGCCTTGCTACCAGAGCAGCGAGCAGTGCATGCAGATTCCTACAGAAGGATTGGGCACCTGTGAAAACTGGGCTGCTATTGATGGCATTTCTTACCATGGCAGATACTCAGATGCACACACCCATACACCCCGTGCGCGCACACACACACAGAGACATAAGCTGAAAAATGTTTTGGAATCAAGTGCTCTTTTAAATTATTGTTATTATTGCCTTTGCAGTATTATGTCTCTTATTTATTAATGTAGAAATGACAGATTTTGTGAATCAAATTCACAAATTTCAGCTTGTTTTGAATCGTTTTATTTATACCATTTAAAGAGTGTGGACTTGAGATTCTGAAAAGGATGTATTCTATATATTTTCTCATTCCATATGCTGTAACTGTTTTTAACAAGAGGTACTACTTTTATATATGGAATTTGAAGAAAATTTGGGTTATTTATACTGTTTTGTATAAGATGTATAATGCTTTTTTGACAGGAAAAAGGAAAATTTTGACAATAAAATAAATTTTAAATATATGACTGCCTTTGTTTTTCCTCTTTTGCCATGTTCCATGTTCTTCGACTTATCTGTTATGGTTTTGTTTTGTTTTGCTTTTTTTTTTCAGGCAAGTAGAAATCAGGCATTTTCCATTTACGTTTGAACTTTGAAAAAGCCATTATATCTTTTAAAATACAGTATTTTTTTTAAAGCTAGATGTTCTCAAGGCCTGATTTCTTGAGGTTTACTTTCTGCATTAGACTTATACATACTACAATTTTTGACTTCAAATTGGTCACATGGTTTAGTTGCTTATATTTGAATAAATGCTGTTATTTTATCCAAACAAATGTTGGCTTTCCACCCATGTTTGGTCATTCTGCATGCTTTTAAGAGGAGTTATATCATCAGCCATTAACACCTGAGTTTTGAAGAACCTTTTAAAATCTGAAATTCTGTATGTGAACATTTTAGTGGCCTGCCGGGAGAGGCCGTTGGTTGCACTCTATGTCTCTGTGTCCTTGGGCTCTCCAGACCCCACGGAATTCCTTCATCCATCACTGTTGTGTGAGGAGAGGAGGGGCAGCCGGGGGTCTTCTTCTGCCCTATTATTTTATCTAGGAGTCGTGTGTGGAAAGAGAATTCTTAATTTTAAATCTTTTACGATAAACCCATCCTCAATGCAGGTGTTTGCTTCACACTGACAAGTCAAAATGGGAAACAGATGACTACAGTAACTGGCAGGAAGAGGCTGATTGTTATGAGGAAAGGAACACTAACAAACACCCTCACATCACAGTAACCAGCCATTTCACACAGGAAAAATGGACCTGCACATTGCAAGCTGATTGGAAATGTTAGGTGATCCTGAATAAACGCAGTTTTGTTTTATTCTTGAGAGACCCACAGTATGGCAAAGGCCCCAGTCACAGATGGAAGGTTGATAACCATAGTTTAATTTACTTTGGATACCCATCTTACTAGAGGAGATGCACACAGGTACTAAATTATGGGTTTTAAGAATATGGCTTTATCTCAGGGGAAAATGGTAACACAGGTAAGATTTTTTTTTTTAATCTTTGATTCCTTCTCTGATAGGATTTCTTTTCTAACGTGCAACCCATGCAATGTTCAGAACCCCCATTTCACCAGAAATCCACCCTTCCAGTTACAAAGGCAAACATTTCCTGTCCTTTCTCTAGGAATCTTGTGGGGAAAAATAAATTACTAGTGTTTTTAGTATGGCATGATTTTCCAATGATAAAACCCTTTTTTTCCTCCTTTCAGGGAAACCAGGAGCAACTGGTGACCGTCATGGAGGAACGAATGATGGAAGTTGAACAGAAATTGAAACTGGTGAAAAGGCTTCTTCAGGATAAAGTGAATCAGCTCAAAGAACAAGTGAGCCTCCCGGGTCACCTCTACCCACCCACCTCACATTCCACTTTTAACTCCAGTTTTCCATTCCTTTATCGTCATTAACTTGTTCACTTCTGTTGTCAAATAAAGGCAAATGCTACTACAGATGTACAGCAGAATTTAGGATTCACTCTCCCCCATACCACTCCAGAAGTATGAATTCTGTATTCTCTACATTATTTTCCCAAAGCTCTTTTAAGGCAGGTTGGTCCACAATTTCAAAAATGTACGTTTGCTAACAGAGACTGACACGGACCTAACGAATTAATTCCTAACAAAGTTCAGCAGCTCAAATTTAATGTTTGTAGATTTTTTTTATTTGCCCAAGACAGGAAACATTCTGTGGAAATAAACAGAAAATTTATGTTGGTAAAAAATTGGAAGATAAATGGAACTTTAGCTTTCCTGTTTACAACAGCTATGATGACCTCAAAAAGTACTTATGGCTATAACCAGACCCCAAAATGCTGTGCTCTGAATTAGAATAGGGACCCAGAATTCCAGGACCACTATGGAGACTGACCCTTTTCACCTGCTGGTGGCAGGTGTGGCCTGTGTTTAGAAAGTATTTGTGTAACCACTGATGACATGCAAAAAAGGACTACTTTATAGAACGTGTTGTAGTGCTTTGGAAACTGAGATGAAGAACTGAGGGGCGGGGGCAGAAACTGTCCAACCTGGTTTTCTAGATATATAAAAAGAAGAATCATCCCAAAAGAAGGTCTTAATGCAGAGGTAGACTGGAACTTTCCTTTGCCCAATGTCTTAATCACAAAATGGAAAGAAAGTCTTACACAATACACATTTATTCAATCCTTTAATCATTCACTTATTCAAAACATAGCTACTGTGTGCCAAGTCCTGTTCTAAGCACTAGAGATACAGCAGCGAACAAAACAAAATCCTGCTCATGTGGACTGTAATTCACTTACAAGGTATCGATCATTTGGCAAGGTAGTAATTTCAAAAATAAAGAAAATGGAGTCCACTTCAGCAGAGGAGAACGTAGAGAAGAAATACTTGATCCAACTCAGGAGTTTAAAGCAAGTTTCCTGAAGGCCTCTTAAACCAAGTACTGATGCTGAGTAAGATTTGAACAGATGAAGAAATGTGAGAAGGACATTGTAGGCTATGGGAACATCATGTAGTTATGACAACATATGGGGTGTGGACATCTACAAACATTTTGGCATTAACAGTTCATACGGTCCTGAAAGAAGCAGAAGAAACTAGAGCAATAAGGAGGAGTGGGCAGTAGAGAGCCCTAGGTGCTGAGCTATGGAGTTTGAATTTCATTCTGTAGGTGATGAAGAGCCATCAAAGTGTTTTTTAAAAGTGAAGAAAGGGGCGCCTGGGTGGCTCAGTTGGTTAAGCGACTGCCTTCGGCTCAGGTCATGATCCTGGAGTCCCGGGATCGAGTCCCACATCGGGCTCCCTGCTC